CTCGTGTTTGTAACTGTCTCTGAATACTTAGTGTCTATCCGTAGCATATAGATGACCCGAGACTTCGTAAAAGCATCTTGGAAAGTCAATTTCGAGTATTCGTAGATCTGTTCGAAAGTTCGCTGCTTGAACACTTTCACTGGATCCTTCTATACAATTCGAGACATTGCTCGATTGCCATGTACTATTTGTAAATATGCTTTACTGCCTTCAACTACGAATAGTTCAAGTTAGCAAATTTTCGTTTCTCAATAATTTAATAATGATTCTAATTTAAAGGGCATCGTGCTCTTTCGCCCTCTACTTATTGCTCTCGAAATATTGATAATACGTGAAAAATGAACGATATAGACGCCGAGGAATTTAATACTCGTTGCGCAGACAGTGGAACGCGTTCATTAAATGATCAGGTTTATGACGTGTCCTGTCTGTCGCGCATTCACTGATGCGCATTTTTTCCATCAGAACGCGGTGTAATCAGAACCCTGACCACTCTTGGAAATTACAGACACATCGCTCCACGATGTCATCGTTGATTTCTAATTATCGGTTTTTATATTGGATATATTAATATTAATACCGGGTAATTGGCACCGCATCATAATTGTCACGTCAAATCATTTTTATCAGGCTCATCGACTAATAAAGGAGAAACTAGAAAACACGAAATTTAAGAAACGAATCTGACAGTCCGGAGCTACGAGTTATAAATTACTGGTATTAATAATTTCCCCTATAGATATAACAGCAACATGTTTAATAATGAAACGAAAATGTATAAATTATACAGATCAGTTAGTTAGTCATCCTCTTCAAGAAAAATGATAGAAAGCAATTTATGTGATAGACACTTATCTACCCATGTCACTTATCAATTTACTGCTATTATCAATTAATAGAAAATTATATAAGAGGTCACAGATAGGTTAATTAATGAAAATCTCAGTTAAAACAATCAATATCTTTCACCCAACCTACAAAACCAACAATCCATTGTAATCCACCTACCATAACATCATTCTACCCCCATTTTTCAACCCTTAGTTTTTCTCAAAAGAACGAGTTTCCGAAGAACCCTCCATTAAACGAGTTGTCTCGATCAAAGAAAGGACTCTTAACAGTCTGAAAAGCGCCCGATCAAAGATAAAACGAGATGGTCTAAAAAGCTCATTCCAACGGCAAATAAAGTTGAAACCGCTGAAAAATTGATGCAGTCTCGAGCATTGGCAATCGATGGTTTAGTAAACAAGCCAATTTGAATTTATCCTTGAATCCTGTGTGCGCGAGCCAAGGTACTTCGTGTTTCGTTCAAGATATCTTAGGCAAAATCTGGGAACGAGTTTGTGCCGCATGGTGGTTGTTGTAAAACCTGAAAAGCATAACCTTTTGAAAAGAGGGTGGGGTGTGTGAAAGAGACTGAAAGGGGTGGAGAAAGAGAGAGAGAAAGAGAAAGAGAGAGAGAGAGAGAGTGAAAGAGAAAGAAGGCGGATACTCCGCTCCATACTGGCGAAAGTTACTCGCCGGAAAATATACAGCGGCGCTTTTAGGAAGTTCGGATTATCGGAAAAGCGGGTTCGAAGCGCGAGTTACCGCCAAGGCGGATCCTCGTGAAAACTCAGTCGCGAAGTTGCTTCCTGGGTCTCGATTCGGCCATTGCAGAGAGCCGGCCGGCTGTAATAGTCGTTTTCCACGTAAAAGCCCAGCCTTCCCCATAGAAAAGCTATAGCCGGAGCTAAATACGCGCCAGGCCCGCGCACCCTTGCTAACTTTCGAAACATCAGCGGCACAGTTGCCGAGCGTAGAACCGCGGCTCTAAACTTCTTTAACTTCCGATCGATATTACCGGACCAAACCTTTTTCTAGTTGCTCGTGAAACTTATACACTTGCGCGTTTACGAAACATCTTGTTGCGTACTGTGTTGTGCGAAAGTCTTGCAACATCTGTTGCGTTTTATTATCACGATTCTTCAGGGTTTATAAGTAAATATTATTTTTTAAGATTTTTGCCGTAGCAAATTTTATCGTTATATATTTGGAAGAATGAAAAGGCATAAAGAAATTTTTACACAACGCACCACACAGCAACATCAAAAGTAATAATTTTTATGAGTATCCAAATTCATTATATCAATATTTTGTATTAAAATGGTAGGCGAAAACAGACACATTTATATAACCATATTTTGAATAGATAGTCAGACGAATTTTTAATATTGCAGAAGAAGAACCAAATGTTATTCGAAATACCCAATAAATATTTAGTGTAACGAATTGTACCTAATGGGAAAGGAGTTAGCGTTATTTGGAATTTGGAGTAGTGAATGTGATATGTTGAAAAAGAAGGATCAAATGTTATTTGCAATACTCAATAGACATTTGATGTAATGAATTGTTCCTATTGAAACAAAAGGGTAAAATGTTATTTGGAATACACAACGGATACTTTGAATTTTACATATGGAAAATTGAAAAGTCCTATAAACGGCACCATGTTGCAAAGTATTATCATGTTTTACGAACAAATTGCGTTGCAGAATATCTCGACCTCATGAGAAAAATTTAGATAGCAATGTTATCTAATCGATACAAATCGAGGAACAATGATAGATGACACTGTGCTTATTTGCACATAAAGAAGTAGCTGAACCTCAAAAGTGAGTTCTGAGATGATCAATGATAGAAATGGTTGAAACGGAAGATAATAGTAACGACGGGAATTTTTTGCGATTTTTCCATTTTTCATAGTTTTATCTTTGTTCCGGCGAAGTCAAAATTCCGTCTTTGGGAGCAACTTAAAGAGAAGATTCTTGCGAAATAGTTGACCTTATATCGCGAAGTAAATAGTTGGATGTGAACCACGAGAGGCTTTATTAACTTCTGCGTTTTCGTGTCCTCGACATTAAATCTTGAGTAGTTTCAGAGTCTCCAGTCACTTTAAAAAAATATTTAATGCATAATGATTTTACAATTGAATTACGAAGTTTCAATTTTTTCAATGTAATTCCAGTTTGAAAATGTTTCAGAAGTAGAAATGGTAAACGATTTAAATGCCAGAAATAAAAATTTCAATGGTAGGAACTTTCCTATTAATTTTGACATTGGAAAAATAAATCTATAGGATTAATTAAAGTTATCCGATATCTACATATAGGTAATCTTATTCATAGCTTCTTATTATTCATTTATGTTTTGTCTTTTTTAATCTTAATTTACTTGACATTTGACATCATAATTCTGTCTTGTGACAGTCTTAAAATCTAAAATAAATTCTAATTTCTATCATCTCTATATTTCTATCATCTATTTTCAGATACACATCAAATTTGAAATATATACCTCTTTTTCGCTAAAATCTCATTTTCCATTCTCTTTTTTTTTGCACTTACATCGTTTGACTATTTTAGCTTCTCGTTTGAGGATGCAGATCCTGGATATAATAAATAATAGAGAGGATACATTGCAGTACGAAGAGTGTTCCATCGAGTCAAACTGGAATGATATCTACTATTAAGCTTCTTGCTCGGGAAATCAAAGAATGCAGAAAAATCGACGGTCGTGATCGTCGTCATCAGCGTTTCTGTAACGGAGAAAACGAAACTCGCGCAAAGATATGACTAAAAGTATCACCAACATGAAGATAGGACGTTGCTACATGTATGACCATGATATTTTATAGCATCTCATGGTCGCAATAATGGCGTCCATAGAACATCCGTGATAGTTTCAATTTATAGGTAACGTTATCGATATTTCATCGGGACGGATTGCAATCTAACATTCCAATGGAATCTAAAGTGAAAATTGATAATTGAAGGGCGCGGCCGGTTTCCAGACCGTTACGTTCTGTTAAAATTAATTGCCGCGATCGATTTGAGTTTGGCAGAGGACGATTCCAAGAAGACGAACCTCGATTAAAATGTATAATATTTATCGTTCGAGGTTAAACCATTAGTCATTCAGTTTTCGTCGTTTATTTACTTATTTAACGTGGTAATGAGATATCATTGATTATTACTTGTTTCTATAGTAATTGTACCGTTACACATTTAACGTTAGTAATACCAATTAAATCATCTTCATCCATTAAAAAGAAACTAGTACATGTATCTACATTTTTAGTGTAAAAATTACAAAATAGAATGTTATTTCCATTAAAAACTAATCATTAAATTACAGATAAACCTTTGTTTACTTGTAAATTTGAAAGCGTTTTTAAATATCAAGATAATTGTGAATCATCTATATTTAGATATGAATATCTAATAGATACAAAAATTACAGACGAATGTCTGTACCTATTAAATAATTTAGAAATGTACCAGTTAACGATAAATGTTAAGAATGATATATTAAAGGAATATCTATGAACATAATTTTCTCCAAGAAATACGCTCTTCGGAATATTTGTATAATAAATGTATTTCTCTCAAGAAAACTAGAAATATTATTCGAGTTATATTTTGAAGAAATCTATCCGCCTATTGTCGTAACATAACGATGTATGAATTGATTATTATCATATCTAATTCTAAATCAACTCTTATTAATCATTCATATCAAACAAATCTCAAACCTAATTCATTGTCAGCAAAAAGTTCACTAATAAATCTTTTAGAATGTAGAGTCTAAACTAAATCTTGCCACAAACTCTTGGAACAGTTGTACCGCATAAGATACGGCCGAAGAACTAGAATTACAAGTTTCCGTTTTATTAAATCGAAACATCTTCCATTCAGATTCTATAACCTTGCCAGCAACCGACTAATTTATCAATCGCGATAAAGTCGGGTGTGCTCTCATTTGCATGGTGCATCGTCGTGTTCGTCCTCGCACGGTCCATTACACCTTTGAAAGTTTGAATCGCGTCAGAAAACTCGTACATGCAAACTAGTTCATGGAATCCGGTATTACTGGGAACGGAGTAAAGTATTTCCTAGTGAGACGACGGATCGTCGTTCGAGGTTCGCGATTCTGGCTAATAAGCGACTACTGTGTTTCAGGCATACGTTGATTTGGTGAAAGCCTGGGGCTGGAAGAGCTTTACCATCATCTACGAGAATAACGAAGGGTTGGTGCGGTTGCAGGAGCTCCTGAAGGCACACGGACCCAATGAATTCCCTATTACGGTCAGACAGCTGAGCGAGGGTTCCGAATACCGGTGAGTTTCCTGACTTTAGTCGCTTTAGGCGAAAGAAACTCAAAAAGCAACGGTCGATCAAGGAGATGTTGTGTTGTGCGATAAATGTTCGACGTTTCCTCTCTTGCAAATTTTTTGGAGCTGAAAATGGTAGACCATGTTTGAACAGAATGAATACGAGGTGGTTAGAAAGAAAGAAAGTTTTATCTTAAAGTTAGATCTTCGAGTTAGGATTGGATGAAAGAAATATGTATAGAGTTATGATTGTAATAATTGGTGTTAACAATTACGCAATTTTTATGTAAATAATTACAGAAACAAGTAGAAATTTGTTTTATTTATTACGTATTATACTGAGTAATTTACTTTGGATATTTTATTGTGGATTTATATTTATATATTTATATTGGATTTTCCAATTTTCCTAGTTAAACTCAAGGAGCATAATCTATAAATAGAAATGGAAATGAAAAATGCGACTATGTCCGGCATGTTTTTTTACCTCTGTTAGAAATATTTAGAGGACGAAGGTAATAATTTCGAATGCTACTTTATTTTTACAACGCTGAATAGTGCAACTCAAGGGACCATGAATATTCTTGATCCCCTAATTTTCTAATTATACCAGCTCGTAATGTATCAATTTCAAATTCATTCTAAATCCCTGAAACCCAGTTTCTCAAACAAATTCTCACAAAGTCCTTAACCGCAGTGCATGTTCCAATTAGCATACGGTTATAAATCAAGACTTCCGTTCTAAATCTAAATCTTGCTTGAAATCTAGCAATTTCCATCGCGTTAAAATTTGCTGTTTCTTCTTAGCGTCTGAATCCTTCTTAACCCACGAATTACTTTCCTATTTGAATATGGTTTTAGAAAAGAAGGAGACGAGATGTCAGCGCTTACAGGAATTAGATTATTTGTTAATACGAAGATTTAACGTTGGACAACTGCGAGCAGTATATTCAAACGTTCGAAGCCAGCTACTTAAGTATAAACGGATTTCGAAGAAAGCTCACGTCGTAAAATTAAGCTTCGGTTAAATCTCGTTACAATAGCACAATAATAAAATTGTTTGTTTTAAGGCGATAAATATGTATTATCGACTACATCTAGTTCCTTACAGTTCCGTTATCGTCAATTGGTCGTTTCAAAGCGCGATAAACGACAAATGGAATGGCGTACTCTGTTCGTGAATTTAATCGAATTAACGCTCGAGTTTGATTGCATTCTCGATATGGCTCATGGATGCACGTGTCGGACTCTAATTTCGTTGCCGTCTCGATGAAGTGCTTTGAAATTGTAGTATGACTATTTACGAGATTTATCGATTTCTGGTTTCTCCTAAATCTATCGAAGTTTTTTTCAAAAATAATTTTAGCGGGTTCTATTGAGGAGCTTCTAAAGGGATTGTAAATCTATTGTGCATTATCAAAAAGATGCAATAGAATTTTGAAATTTATATAGTTGTAGATAGTCATCAGTAGTAAGTCACAGAACGTTCGTTTCTAAACACGAATTGTAATGAAATCTTAGAAATTCAATCTTCTTTATACACGCGATTGATAAATATCTATTTTATTTTATAACTAAATGTGTTGTAATTTATGCTTTTTCTAAGTATACTGAAGAGTAGTAGTGTATATGTGGGTATTGTCTATCGATTCTGCATATTACATGATGATGGCAACTAAATTTATTTTGCTGATTTGAAAAATTATCCGAGTGCGAATGCACACAGGATCGTACAGAATGATTGATGACTACGGTTTATTAATGTCTATAATATACTATCTAATTCTCTATCTCTGTATCCTGTAGTCTGCATTATCGTAGATTATAATATTTTGAAAAATCTCGACTTCTAATAATGCGTTACTTCCCAAAATTAAATATAAGAAACAATAATTCGAAGAATGATGTATTCGATGAACTCTTCGATGTGTTTTTAACGTATGAAAAAAAAGATATGTCATCGCTGATTAGACGACGGTCATTTCTGTCACCGACAAGCTATCCCGTCAACCAAGTTCCTTGAAATATGATTTTATCTATTATTCACGCGATAAAGTTCTGAGAAGTGCCATTACGTTACCCAGTTCCACGTAAGATTGTCGTTAAGTTTAAAAGTCGGATTTCACGCGACTCCGACATCTTCGCTTCAAATTAGTTGGGCGAAGAATATTCGCGAGAAGCTCCGTCGTGGTGAATTCGGCGATAAATCCAACAGCGGCCAGGCGATCCATCAAGATCACACGTAAAATACAGTCAATCTATCAAACGTCATGCAACATAACTGACTCTGCAAATACACATTCCAACATGCTGTATCGTACCACGTTCCAATTTTCATTTCGGTAGTTGTACCAATAATAAATGTAACATCAGTATTGATATTATTATTATGTACACATATATAATCATATAATACTTGTAATCGTATATCTATACATTATACGATTGAATAATAGAACATTTACTTTCATTTGCTGACTAATGAGTCTTTGGGATTAATCTGAATTTTCATTTTATTTTGTTAACACATAATTAGTACAATCTATCCCTCTAATAGATTAGTTCACATTCTATGAAAAAGAAACAGTAATGTTTACAACGTTTCCTTAAAACACCGACCAGAACCTACCTCAAATTAAAACTACCAGAAATAAAAAATTCTTCACTTCTCGATTCCTAAACTACATCACGATGATCAACTCATACTCGCGTACGCTGATTCATATTAACATACTCTTCTATCTATTTAATAAATTATTGGAAGCTGTAATCGTAAGTAAGAAATAAATCAACCTCTACAAAGTATCTTTAAAACGCCTGTCCGCTAATTGGAATTAATCCTGATATGCCATTAAATCACGAGAAGCCATCAGAATCAAGAATTCCTCCTTCCACAGTTTCCAAACCACATTGCGCTGTAGTGATCAGCTCGCAGCCAGTGTTCGAAACTACGAAGCATAATCGTAAACCTGGAGACACGCGTCCTGTTGAAAATTCAGCGGTCCCGATGATCGACGTTGTCGTTGCATTAGCATGACGGCGTGCAACAGCAGTTGCGTCGCGATCGATACTCGTACCACTCGCAGAGAATACACCATTACGAATTAAACTCCTCACCTCCTCTCTCTCTCATATACACATGCATTCTCTATTGGCAATCCACAGACCACAATGATCTTCTTACTCCTCTATGGTATGGGTGACGTATCGATCGCAGCCTAGAAAGTGTGTCAACTGCGCTTCACACGGCGAATAGGGCAAATCTTCATCTCCTTGCCCGCCATTCTGTCACCGATACGAGCTTGCACACTTCTTAAGAACCGGGCACACCTATGGCTCTTATACGCGCCGACTGTCTCGCGTTCTAAGCGCAAAAGAAGGAGCCACCAGAAGCGTTGCATTATTCATAAAACCACGGGCGGCGTTGGCTTATTGCGCCACAGAGACCAGAACGATAGGGATTTGAATAAATTCTGTTAGATGCCACGTATCTATTTCACCGGAAAATTCATCGCTCCCTGCGTGGGTCTCCACGCTGTCGCTAATATCGAATGCATTGTGGGGAAATTGTTTGGCCGACGTAGGGTCAATGGTGACCTTTGTATGGGGTCCTGTGGGATACTCGACCATCTCTATGCATGGTTTCGACTTTCTGTGGATATACGATCGGTTTGTACGGCCGTCCTTTGGTTGCAATTATTCCTTCCTCTAGGGGAGGATGGAATAATTTGTGCGAGGTAGAATATATTATATAAATATTGCTATTTGAATAGAAATTGGCCCTTGGATTTTCGTCGCAGATTTTTTTCGTCAGAGATTTTTATTAATTCGAATTAACAGTATATTTGGAAATACGTGTAACATAGAACGAAGAGAGGCGCCTGTAGGTATCTATAGAAATTGGAAAGTTAATATAAAGATTGGAATTTCAGCCTGAAACATGATACGATATGATGAAAAGCGTGTCAGAAATTTTTGTAAGAGTATCACTGTGAAGGCGATAGGATTTTATCGAGCGTGTCAAGAGTGTTTAGAATAGGATGATAGATGTACGAAGTAGATAAGTACATACCTACATATACCTGGTCTAGAATGTTATAGGTATGAAGAAAGGATATTTAAACTGAAAATAAGTGATATAGATTATCGTATGACAAAAGAATAAGATTATTATTACAAAGATTTTAGATAGAAATGGTTAAGTGTCTCATAGAAATGATCGTATGAAATGAAAGAAGATATATACGTGGAAAATTTTGACAAAATATCTTTGTCGTATAAAACAAAAGTTATGATATAATCAAATTGCTATTACTCCATTATTATTTTCATTATTAATCTACAGATATTATTAATCATTATTTATGTGAAAAGCTGTTTGCAAATACATATTTCTACGATACAATGGTGCATTGTTTACTATAGAAAGTTCAATACAGGTTTCTTGTATGACGTAATAACGAAAGAGATTCTCTTGTCAGTATGTTTTCAGGTATTAGACTAGGGTGCATTCACATGTTTGATAATATATTATATAAGCCCCGCTCAATTATTTTCATATTATCGAATGGCATTACCTTTTCTCCTTTTATTACCTTCACCTTGTCCACCAATAGTCTATTGCACAAGGCATTGTCTTAAATGCCTCGTTAAAACTTCAGCAACGATTTGCATGGAAGTTTTGATACTTCACAATGGGCCAATAGATTCGATAAGAAAATATAAGATTCTTTTCTTTTCAGCTTCTTTTTTCATTCGTTTTCGTCGTGAAAACAACTTTGTAAATTAGGTAGTTGGACCCTTTTGTGGGATATTTTACGATCGACTTTCATGAGATCGTAAGAGAAAGATTATCTTTTTACTGAATGGGAAAAACGTTCGGAAAATATGATACTTCCAAGTAGGAGCCGTTTGTATTGTTAAACTTGGGTCAGATTCAATGAAAGTATAATAAATTTCTTGATGTATGAGTTATATAGAAATCCGCCGGATCATGGAAGTTACGT